CAAGCCATGAAGTTCAGTATCTATAAACCACACTGATAGTTTCCAAGAGTTTGGACACCATGCGGGAGAGACACAAACCACCCCAGAGCTCCAGCTTCCGAGGGAATCTAAGGAGAACTGGAGATGCTTAGATCTCTTGAAATCCAACACAGCAGCTTCACTGAGATACCTTATTCATTTCAGGTTTCCCTATAAACTCTAATATTAACCCAGGGGCAGTTCAGAGTGTTGAAGCTCCAAGCCTGTTTTGGATGAAAAAAACCAAAGAAAACCATGCTATCTCTTGGTTGTGACAGTCTTTCTTACTTTTGGAAGGAGGTTGCTGGACTCACACGTGCACCCCAGTGGTGCTTGAGCTGCACCCTGTGTCAGATCTGATCCTATATCAGTGAAAGCAGGTGGCATCTGCCTTTAAGGTTAAAGCTACAGAGGAGGGGCTGTGCATGCTCCCTATCAAACCTAGGTCTTGCTTTCCTCAGGAGCTTGTGTCTTTTCCCCAGAGGTAAGTCAAGCCTTGGTGTTTTGGGTTTAGCCCTTTCTAAGAAAGATTGTTTGCAGTGAAAGGTGGCTTTTTGGGTAAGAAGCGTTGCAATAGTTGAGTTTAATAATGTTCTGTTATTGTTTTCTGGTGTGGAAAGTGGTTTGGGTTTTTTTGTTTTGTTGCTTTTCTTTAATGTCTTTGATGTGAAGGTAGGAAGGGGGAAAAATGTGGTGAAGAGCAGAAACAAGTGCTTAGAGTGAGATAGTGGGAACAGAAAAACCTTGTCTTCTCTCCGGTTTGCCACCAGCTTACGTTGTGCTGGGCCAAGCAGTCTGGGCTTTGTTTCCACCTGTGTTGAGACCCTCAGCTCCAGGGAAAGGCAATAGCAGTGCAGATGGGCTAAGGCTTATGAAAGGCAAATGCTGTGCTTGCCAGGGCTTTTTTATTTGGTTGTTGGTTTTTGGTGGGGTGGGTTTTGGTTTTGGGGTATTTTTTTGTGAAGTTTAACATTCCCAGCCTTCCGGAAGACTCTGAAATTGAGTGCTGTGTGGGTACAGCTAGAGGGGCATATTGCTCTCATTGCCATATTTTGCAGAGATCTCGCTCATCAGTGTGATGGCAAACTGAATCAGCTGGGATGCAGTCCCGTTCCGGTGGGCTGTAACACAACACTTCTGGGGAAACGATCAGGAGGCAGCAGAACAATCAGTGTGCACACGGCTTCAGCCCACAGAGTGAATCTGGAAAAGTGCTTTCACCTGGAGTCTGGCTAATCTTGCTTCAGCAAAATAAATAGGATGGAGCTGAGCTAGATGTCAGTGGGAGTGCATTGCTGGCTGAAACCTGTCCTGGGATTCAGTGGTTCAGGAGCAGTGTCCCAGCACTGCGCCAAGAAATCCTGTGCTCTTGGTGAGGTGCTGCTTCTCAGAGAAGATTTAACCTGCTATTTCTGTTAATTAATAATCCCCTGGTGGTTTTAAAAGGAGGGGCTTGCGGGTGAATGTCCTATTCAGCTTGCAGTTTGATGGGGGCTGTAAATCCCTCTGTAGTTCCAATCTGGTGCAGTTAGTGCTCTCTGCTTGTGGCAAGCTGCCTGCCAACTATTTCAGCAGTTAATGCAGGGAATTAGCTTGTAGATTTAAAGTAGAGGGCAAGCTAGACAAGACTTATTACCATGCTTTGTCCTATTGTAGCCAGTAGTTTGGTATAACAGGCTGTGTTATCTCTTATGATGTGCTTTGGGATGAGTGGTTGTGGGTAAAAGGGATGTTGTTTAAATGTCTGTTAATAAAAAAAAGCAGCTGGTAGGAGCAATTTGAGCAATGCAAACTCCTGCTATCTTGTGATTACCTTTAGGCACTTGGAGATTATTCTACTGAAGCTAGAGTGTTTGCTGATGTGGGAAAGGACAATTAACTGGAGTAGTGAAATTTATGCATAGCTCTTGCCTGGGCTTTAGCTGTTACTTTCTTGTGGAAAAGCAAATTTGGGCACTTAGGTATGCTGTTCAGTAGACAGAGGCTGCTCCTCTATTTTGAAGGCTGTTTGTTAAGGCAAATGGCACTAGGTTTAGATTTTATTAAGATCACAGGGAAGGAGACAGTTTAGCTTGCATGCATCTTTGTGCTGAACTGAAGTTGGTTTTCTTGCAGCTTGACACCTCTTTCCCACCTGAGAGCAGGATGCACCAAACTAAGTAAAAAAGCAATGCTCACTACCTTTGTAATGCTGTATCCTTCTCATAGGTGCCTTGCCAAGGTTGGCCACCTAATCCTGCAGCCTCCTTTGGAAATAGAGCTGTACGGGTAGTAAAGGTGTTGCAGAGAGCATTGAAGCAGTCTCTCAAATTTTGCTTCTGTGAAAGCATTAACCAGGGAACTTCTTTTGTTTGGTATAGGGAAATGTGCCTTTTTGGCCATCAGGTAAAACCTTATCATGCTTTTCTTAGAAACAGTAAGCCAGGAGCTTGGTTGGGTACAGGGATAAAGATGACACAGCTGGAAAATGCCTCTCTCTGGAGAAATTTGGAGTTGTGTTTAGTACAGGGATGCACTCGTTGTGTCCTTAACTGGTGTGACTCTTCCCAACAGCTCTGTTAGCTTCAGAGGCGTAGAATAACAAACCTGGTTTTATCAGTCCATGCAGCTATATCTCCTTCCTCTCCTGTGCCGCAGGCTGTGGGCACTGTGAAGAGTGCTTGATTGGGGTAGGTTTATGAGAAGCAACTTCTGCTTTGCTGCTAAATGGGACCACAGGGGCCAGTGCAGGCAGGGCTGCACTGGTTGCTTTGCCTTCTTGAGACCTAGGACTTTGTGCAGCTGTGAACCAAAGCTGGGGCATGTCATGGCATGCAGAAACCTCATTGGACTGAGACTTTTTGAAGGAAAGAAGGTCTCTCAGGAAGGTCTGTTTTGCAATAACTCTTTTTGGTAAAGTTCGTTCCTGTATATGTAGTAATGAGCTGGTGTGGATGGTGTCGCTACCTTTGCACTGAACTCCTAAAAAGTGGGTTTTAGTGTTTAAGACAAGGGCAGTTGTGGTAAGTGGCAAATAACTGTTAAAAGCAAGCGCTTCAGTGGTTTGGGAGAACCCATTGTGGGGTTTCTCTGCCCGTTTCTGGGAGGTCAGGACCAGGTGCAGGGTATTGAGCAGTGCCTGAGGTCTGTTTAGTGGGTTTAGTGGCAGAGTAGGTTGGGGAGCATGCACTCCCCATTGCTCTCTACCAAAGCTTGTCATAGCATTGGTTCCCAGCTTATATAGCAGGCTTTAGGCCAGATCTGTTCTTCTGGGTTTCAGGACAGCACTCTTGAAAGTGCCTTACCAGACTGAAAGCTTGAAAGGAGTAATTTCTGGTACTTTGTGGGGTAACTGCTGTTCTCGGAGGATTTGTGATTATTTATTCGCATGTAGTGTGGGTATGTGCTCACATCTGTAAGAGCTATTAGCTATGACATTTCTGAATTTTATTTTTGGCTCTGACTCTTCATGAACTTTTAAAGGATGTTGGGTTTTCTCATTAATCACAAAAAGGATGAGCAACTGAAGTGATACTTTCACCTATTTTAAGGCATGCTCAGCTATGGCTCTGCGGGCTGAAACCACTTTGATTTCTGTTAGTTTAGGAAAACTGTCTGCTCTTTTCAAAGAGCATGCAGTTCTGTGGGCAGCAGAGGTAAGGAAAGCCCTGTTTTTCGCAGGCCAGAGTAATCCTCAAAACATAAGAGGCCATACAAATTCAGTAGAGAGAGCTATATCCCTCTCTGACAGCAGCCAGAAATAGATGCTTCAGGAAAAAGTAGAGGAAAAGAACAACTGTAGTGTGATCCTCCCTCTGAAACACTCTTTCTTAATTTTGACAGCTTAATAAATTAGGGTCTTCCATGCAACTTGTTTAGACCATTGTGTTAAACAGCACTAAAATGTGCCAAACCAAATGTTAGTCCAATTCTTTTTGGAATCCATTTATAGCCTTGGCTTCTGCCACGGCCTTTCCCCTGGCAGGGAGCACAGCCATTCACTTGCATTGTGCTGAAACAACTCTTTTATATGAAAATTTTGCAGGATGCCCCCATCCTTGTAGCAGGAAAGGAGGTCACCTGTCTTGTACTCTAATTAAGTTGAACCTAGAGTTTTTGTCAACTGCAAATATACTCAAGAAATTCCTCCTGCCCCCCTTTTACATCCCTGCAGCCATTGAGTATTTTGACATGGGTGTAAAAGCTGCTGCGTTTGAATTTAGAAATTGGCCAGTGGGATGAGAATGTGCAGCTGTGGAAGGCGTGAGTGCTCTGGCTTTGTCACTGCTCATCTTGAGCCCACCTATTTCTGTGCATCTTGTGGGAGCTTAAGGGGATAAAAATGGCCAAGGTAATTAGCAGATCTGGCAGAAATCAGCCAGTCAGGCTCAGAAATTATTGGAGGTGAGAAGACAGTAGACAAGCAGATATAATCTGATGTGATGGAACTTATTTCCATAGAAAATAAAACAAATAGAAGATTTTTTAAAAAAATCTTCTAATAATAAAAAAATACTTATTTTATTCCAAGATCTCAGCTGCAGTGGCTGGGTGTAGGAGAAGTCACCTAAATCATCCAAGGGCATGCAATCTAGAGAGGCAACTAGCCAGGGAGAGTGGAATCGCACACCACTTAGGTGCTTCACCTGCTGCAAAGACTACCTGCTTATATAGAAAGTTGATTATTTGGGGGTAAAATGGAAGGTGGTGGGTTTTTTTCCCTCTGGGATTCTTATGATGCAGCATCCCAGTGGACTCTGAAGGGTATTTAACTTATAGGGAAGGGTGGCCGAATTCTCTCCCATCTAAATACAGCATCTGCAGCAGTGTGGAATGTGTGTTGTACAGCTGTGAATGTTCCAGGCATTCATCGTGTCTCCTTTTTCACACAATAGCTTCTATTTATGGGTTTTCATCAAGTTGGGCTCATGCATTCAACATATCTTTGTGTGTGTGTTTTTCTTTTTCTTTTTTTTTTTTTTTTTTTGCTTTTGTTTTTTAAGGTTTGTAGAAACTCCGAGCCACTTCTCCTGGAAGGAGAGTTACTACCGGTCAGCCATGTCCCACGGCTCACAGCCCAGGGAATTCCTCAGCCCAGAGGTGCTCCAGCATATCTGGGACTTCCTGGAACAGTAAGTAGTCCTTATGTGGAGCCTGTGGAAGAAGGCATTTTGGGACAGGACGTCTCTGTAATTAGGTTGCTCAGGGGACTGATGCTGGGGGTTTTGGAGTCTTCTGTACCTGCTGATTAGAAGATGTGGGTATGAGTCTGTGATGACTGACAGCTCTTGAGCTCTCAAGAGGTTCTTCATCAGGCTAAGGGGAACAGATGCAGAGATGACCAGTGACACTGACTCTCTTCAAGACCTTTGGTTGCTGAGCTGACTGCTTTCCACCGCATGCTCACTTAAGGTGGACGGTTGGCATTTTCCCCTAAGGACATGGGGTCATTACTCTATGTCCAGGCTGCATGTTTTCCTCCTTTGCTGGTGCCAGGGAGGGAGAGGAGGTGGAGATGGTGCAGAGTTCACTCTGTCAGGTCCATTGAAGGAAATAAAACTGACTCCGTTCCCATTCCTGACTTGCCATGACTGATGCTGGGACAGTTACTGCTATAAATCCTCCATGAATTCTGTCTTTGTGATTTAACTCCTGCGCTCTTACCTCATTTTTCTGGTCAGGCAAGTGAAATGTCCCTCCAGGCCCTGTCCTGTTCAGGGACTGCTGTTAGCATGGCAGGTGATGAGGTAGTTGTTGACTAGTAATTACTTACTTTGTCCTGAGACTGGTTCGTGGTCGTGCCTAAGTCCTGGGTGACACCCTAGCACATGGTGGGGGAGGAAAACAAAATTTGGCCAGTTTTAACTGCGTTACTCTGTTCTTTTCAGGCCAATATGCTCGGTTCAGCCGATCGATCTGAACTTCATCGATGGCCCATCTGAAAATGGCCCTACAAACAAAATAGAGATTAGCATGGACTGTGTTCGGGTGCAGGACACGGAGCTGAATGACCCAATGTGGGTGAGTAGTGAGAAGAACTTCCTTAACCTTTGGGAACAGATGAGGAGTTTTTGCAGAAGCTACTCTTGCTGTGTTGCCCCGGGACCATCTTCTCCCTCTTGGTGGAGGAGCTGTGGCTGCTGCCTCTGACCAAGGAAGTTCCTTCTTGCTTTGCCTGTTGTGTCCCACCCACAGAAGCTGGTTGGGAGCATGGCTCTACCAAGTTACTCTGGTGGTGAACAGTGGTGTTTGTACATGTGGCTAAACAGGACGGCGTGTGACCTGTGGAAAGGCATCACTCCTCTGTGCCTCCTCAGGGCTGCAAGGGGGAGCAGGCTGGCTCCTTACCTGTTCTTCCTCTCCTGCTGCAGCAATGGCAGGAGAGAGGGATGAGGCAGCTAAACAGGCAGAAGAGCTGAGGAGTCTCTTGCACTAGCCTGGCTGCTCAACTGTCTCTGCTCTCTCCCTGCTTAAGGCTAGTTTATGTGGCCTCAATGTTAAAAATATTCTGGGCACAGTTGCAATTTTGATGACTAAAGGCTGGGGCTTGAGGATGTTCTTCACTGTTTTTTCTTTTCTTGAAGGTCAGGTATGAATGAAAACTTGGTTTCAGATCTTTTTTTTTTTTTTTTTTCCCCCCTCCTGTGTCTCTAGGTAGGCAAAGCCAGAGAGTGTTTGTAACAAGTCTTGGTCGTGGGTGTCTCACCAGTATGGCTCGAGACTGGAATGCAGATGAGGCACTGGTGGTTGCTGGTTCATTGCCTTTGGCACAAACTGACCGGCTCTTTCTTAGCAATAGCCCTGGTGAAGAAGCCAGGTGCTATTCTTGCAGGCTGGAGCAGGAGGTATTTCAGGAGTTTGAGCTGTTCGTGTCCTGTTTCTGTTCTTCCTGGGTTTTGTATACTTTGGAGTAAAAATCATGTGCAGCTTGAAATTTGTGTTGATGTCTGTAAATTTTCTTGTTCCTCTGTTTCCATCCTGAGAAACTGCGTCAGTTAATTCCCTGGCTAATCAACCACCATTTTTAATGTGTTCAACCAAGGCATGTTGGCGGTCTGCATCCTGGCAGTGTTTGTAACCTGGAGGATCGCATCTGCAAGGAAAGAGCCCCCAGGTCATGCTGATTGCAGTCCCCAGCGCCAGAAGGTTTGACCTGTTACTGTCTCTCTGGTCTGACCGCTGGGGAGACTGCGGTGCTCTCCTCTTTCCTTGCAAGATTGCAAAGGGTAAAGAGGCCACTCTCAGGTTGGGTATCTGCTCAGCTGATGTGGTGAAGCTACTCTGAGTGTGCAAGGAGAGGTGACTGATGTCAAGGCTGGTTATCTTTTGATTCTGCATTCAGGTTGGGCGCAGGGGGATGGTGTGCAAGCCTTCAGTCAGCATCTGGATCTGAAAGGCCACTTCTCAGCTTTTTCCAATGCTGTAGCACAGCTCCAGTAAAATGATGTCTCTTCAATAGCTAGTCCAAAAGATTCTCCATGTTTAGAAGGGCTCCTAGGTTGTAATGTTCTGTTTGAACTAACTATGTCCTCTTTAAAAAACAATCCCCAACAGTTTAAAAGTCATCAGCAGAAACTTTGCTCCTTCCATGCCCAAACCTGGACTTGCTGCACTGAGTGCTAGCAAAGCCTCCCCATCTCCAGTTCTTCTGAGCTGTCTGCAGAGCACTGTGCTGGCTGACAGGCTCACTTGAGGCTCTTGTTCAGAGTCTCCCTCTCCCGTCTGTGGTGCAGTGAAACATCAGTGGAAAATCCCTTCCTCTTGTCTTCTCTGAGCACTGGGGCTAGGGAAGGAGGGCAGGCAGCTTTTGCTGAGCAGTTACTACTCGCTTATGATGGGTTTGATCCCAGCCTTGCAGGAGGCATTTCTGAAGAGGCTGAGCAGCACGGTGACTTCTTTAAGTGTTTTTCACAGATATGACAACCCAAAGGAGGAGCGGGGAAATTCCATCCCATCCTCACCCTTACTGTAAGGCAGCAGCTCAGAGTACATTAATGTATGTACATTAATAAATGTTCCAGTTTGTCTTCAGTGGAAGACAGCACCTTCGCTCAGTTGAGTGCTGCACAAAAGCCTTTACAAAGCAAAATATGCATCGCAAACCTGTGCAAACAGTCTGCCTTTTAAAAGGAGGAAAGCTCTTTTTACTCCCCTTGCCGCCACCACCACCTCCCTATAAATTTGCAAACATCCCTGACAGGTGACAACTCCCCCTTGCAGAGAAGTCCATGTTTGCTTTGCTGTTTCTGGGGCTCGCAGCCGCTGCAGCTTGCATTGGCAGAGAATGTGTAGCCTGGGGCAAGGTGTTTGCTGTTTGTCGGCTTTAATCTGAAATACCTTACAACCCTCTTCCCCTCCAGCTTCTCTTTTCCTTTGGATAGCTTCGGGGCAAGAGCTCCCCTTGCACCTGTCTCTCCTGTAACCTCAGCCATGTCACTTCTAGACACGAGGTGCCGCACGCAGCTGATTACAGCACAGAGTTGAAGAGGGCAGATAAACACAAAGGAATGCAGCAGTAACAGAGGGGCCCTGGGAGATGAACAGTGAGATCAAGGCAGAGTGCTTTTTATTATTAGATTTGTCTTGGGAAAAGAGCAAGGCCAGCTTTTCTCCAAAATGTACCACTATGTGAGATTTAAATAGGTGCAAAGCAATTAAGACCGGTTTATTTAAAGCAATTGTCCTTCCGTGGACTTTAAGGCAATCCCAATCAGCCTTTAAAATAAGTTCTGCACCTTCTTGCAAATTATGGCTGAAAAGTGAAACTTTCAGCCTCACAAGATGTCTATCCTTGATCCCATGAGTTGTGTTGGTGAGAGCTGTGATTCTTTTATTATTTAATTTTTGGGGAGTATAGTTGCTTGTTCACAACAGAGCTGGCAGTGGGGAAGGAGCTACAGTATTCGGAGCAGTGCCTGAAGAAACTGTCCCACCGGTGGGCTGGAAAATGAGCATGAGTCCTGCTCTGCTTAACACCCATCGGTTGTGTTTGTTGCCTTGAAAATGCAACTATCTGGGGAGAGAGCTGGAGGAGAAGGTTGGGTAACAAAGAAACCCATCTTGTCTGAGCTACATCTCTGTCTCTCACTGAGCCAAGACCTTGCAGTTCTCATGCTCTTGTTTTTAAGGAAGAAATGTACTTCCTGTATCCCATGTAAGAAAGGGGTAAGAGAAACTGGGGATCGGCACTATCTTGGGATGAAAAGAGCTGGAGGGGACAGGAAGAGGGTTTGTGGGTCTGGTGTAACATTAGACAGTCAGCAGCCTTCCCTGGTCATGTGCCTTGTGACCGGCTCTTTCACAATGTCCTGGGTGGCCCGTCTGTGAGGCTGCCCAGCTGTGCCCCTTCCTCTCCCATGGCGTTAACCACAGACAGGCTGGGAAATCCCAGCAGAGATCTGCCTTTTTGCATAGCCGGAGTGAGGGGCTGGTGGTCCCTGTGGGTGCGGAGAACATTCAGTCTCTGCCATGGCCCTGGCGTGGGAAGGAGCTGCGGATGGCCAGGAAGGTAAGCTGAATGTGCCTCCTTGTGGGCCACCTGCCATTTCTTAGCCTTCACCAAAGAAGGTGGTCCCCAGCCTCTTCCCTGACCAAGGATGGAGCCAGCAACTGTGGGGTCTTTGGGGTGGTGGCCAGCTCCCTGCATTCAAGAGGAACGCTGGTCTCAGGCCGTCTCCCGCAGTGCTAGAAACCAGGTGATGTTATATGTTTGGTTTTTTTTTTTTTTCTGGACTGATTACATGCCCTGGAGCTACAGGGAGGAGGGGTCTGAGGACCTCTCTCTAGGAACAAGCGTGTGGCAGTGCAATAACCCCTGCATTGCCCTGGAGCCCTTGTGGCGCACTGTCAGCCTGCTGTACCAGGTGCAAAATCGCTGTCCCTCAGAAGTCCTTTAAACTGCTCACCGATGCTAAGAGATACTAGCCTGGACCCAAACGAAGCTGCTTTGGGCTGAGGACTTCAGCGGGCAGCATCCTGATGAAAGTGTTATTTGATGGCCTTGCAGAGTCTGGAAGTCTCCTGCCACCATCCCAGCAGTGTGTCCAGAGCTCCGGGGACCTCACCGGCAGGAGCAGGAGTGCTGTCCTGAGTGATGGAGCAGCTCGTCCCCCTCCCCCTGTACATACCTTCCTTTCATGCCCCTGAGCAAGCTATCCTCCCGCAGCCCCTTGCCTAACCAGTTCAGTGGAATGCCTTTCCCCAGATAGTCGCTATGGTCAGAGTTTTCTTAACCTGGATCCGTCCCTCCCCACAAAAGGGAGAGAGAATTCCTTGCCTTTTTTTTTTTTTTTTTTAATTTGTCCTTCCTCATCTTCTGCAAATCATTGTGGGGATTTGCTGTGTGTGGCTTGGTTAGGCACTGCTGAGCTCCCTGTGGGGTGTGTTTCTGCCCTGGGGATGGTGGTGTGGGTGCTTCAGACAGGGCTGTGTCCTTTTGGGTTTGGGTCCTCAGCTTCATGGGCTGTGGGTGTCCCAAGCCTGGTGGCTACAGAAATTTTGGAGGTGCAACATGTATGTGTTTCATAGTTTTAAAAGTGATAGCTTCAGCTCTGTAACTTTGCCGTTCTCCTTTAAACACAGAGGTGGAGGAAAAACTAGGCTGTAGGAGAGACTGGATGCAGCCCATGTAGGACATGGAAGCGTTGAGGAGCTCAGCCTCAGCCCTCGCACCAATGACACATCTCGGAGTTGGTATTTAATGCTTCCCAATGGGAACAAGAAACCTTTTGCAGGTTTAACCTTTTGTAGGCTCATGGAGGAGCCACCCCAGCCACCTTGTGCAGGGTACCTTCCCATGCCGTAGCCCAGCGAGCTGGAGAGGAGTGGGACTGAGGCCCCCCGCAGAGCTACCCTGGCCCAAGGTGGCCAGGGTAGCTGGTAGAGCTCTTCTGCATGCTCTCAGCCTTAGCACTATGTAAATCAGTTCAGTAATTCATATTTGGTGGCCTTGCACTGAATTCCTGGGACAGACACAAAAAAAAAAATACCCACTGTCCAGAAGGACATCTGTTGCGTCCTAT